CCGTACTTTGCAGGTATTCTGTCAAAATTTGGTGCAGGACTGTTTTTATTGGTTCAGGTTATTTTACTGTTGGATTTCACTTACACATGGAATGATGCTTGGGTTGAGAAAGATGAGCATAAATGGTATACTATTTTAAATTAGCAACTAAAGCTGTTACTTATCTCTGATATTCTTGTCTGAAGAAAATTTTATTGATTTTTCAGGTACATGGCTTTGCTTGCAGTATCAGTAGGTTGCTATATTGCTGCTTTTACTTTATCTGGAATTTTGTTCATTTGGTTCAACCCTTCTAGCCAAGACTGTGGCCTCAATGTGTTCTTCATTGTGATGACCATGATACTTGCTTTTGCATTTGCTGTCATTGCTTTGCATCCAAAGGTGAGGCTCATGCTATCTCTCTCTGTTTAATCATAAGGCAGTTACTTTAGCCTTTTTGGCCCTTCCTTACATTATACTTTTTATTCGCTTTGTTTAGTTTGTTATATGTTAGTTATTTGGTCAATTCTGGCATCAAAGCTTCATTTGCTAACTCAAAGGACACTATGCTGACAATTATAGGCTTGAGAGTTGAGACTGTGGCTAATTCGAGGTGGCACAGATAATATGCAAAACCATAGTATTACTTTTCTGTAAGCTTAGTAAACAGTAAGACAACTATGATCTTATTTTAGGTGTCATTTACACATTATTGGCAACAGTGAATTCTTCCAACCGATTCCATATTTAGGAAATATTGATGGAAGGAGAACCTAGCATAATATGGACTTGTGAGAGTGTAATAACAATTAATTTGATTCTAGATAACTTGTTATGTGGTGGAAGGGTGGAATCACCTGTCTTAGTCAGAATTAGCCTTGCTACGCAGGCAACTAAGTTAAAGGGTGAAGTAGAAGCTATATCTTAAATGTATTACTTCCTCTGTTACATAAAAATTGCACCATGGGGGAGAGAAAGGCAAATTGACAAAAGCGTCCTTGTACTTTTGAGGAATTACTTTTATTCATAAGTATATGCAAGTGGGTGGGGGACGTATTGCATGGGTTTTAGTACGGGTAGATTGGTAAATGCACTAGGTAAATATGAAGTTCCTAATAAGGTGAAAGATGCAATATTTGTGGAACAGAGGAAGTATATGAATTTTGAGACTTTGAGAGATGGTGAATATGAAGTCAAAAATTATATTTCCTATCACGGGGAATGCCTCTTGTTGCGGGAACCTATTAACTTAATGTATATTGATGCTTTGTACAAGTCAGGTTATTATGTGTGTGTGTGTGTTTGGGGGGGGGATCGGATTCCATTTGTGTCACGTGTTATCTGAATCCGTTGAACCAAGATGCAAATCAGTTATTGACCCATATCAATGTAATTCTTTTAAATCTAAGGGCTAAAGCCAAAATAATAAGTACAATTTTGTGAACACTTTAGTTTTGAGTGTTTTTGTGTGTGTGTGTGTGTTTTTTTTTTTTTTTTTTTTTTTTTTTTTTTTTTTTTCTCTTTTTTAAAGTTTGGATTAAAAGTGAAAATTGTTAGAAGTCCCGTCAACTTATTTTAGTGAATTGTTTTATGCTGATTTAGGAAGATTTTTAATCTAATTGATATTTGTTGGACCGGTATTGACTTATAAAACTTTACTGTTAATATTTGTCTTTTTCTAGTTTTCATTTTTGTAATAACTAATAACAGTATTTGTTTGGAATCTTCTTTATACAGTTATGTGAATGGAATCTAGTACTTGCTTGATACTATATTTCCATTACATATATTTTTTTTTTCAATCGCAATATTTAGAATTTTACACTATCAAACACGCGCACACACACAGACACACACACACACACTCCTGAGTAGGTTCAAAACATTAATATTTTTAAAGAAAATTTGTGAGAAAGCACCTTATCGCAAAGTCTTATAAAATGCACACCTTGATGGGCTTTTAACTACTAAATATGTGACCCCCCCCCCCCCCCCTCCTCCCAATAATCATGTAGCCATGTAGGTAAGTCCATCAAGTATGTACAACTCACATCACCTAATTCTAGGACATTGACTTAAAGGATATTGACCCAAGTCAAATAAGGGAAAGGGAAAAAGAAAAAGTTTCCAAATGACCTGTTACAAACAATCTAATTTGAAGGATTATGTAAACACAATGCTAATTCTTACACAGTGTTTACATGTATGGGCTTTAGTCATTGTTTTAGTAGATTTGAAACTTTTGTCGGTTCTTTTGTAGCATGCACTCATTTGTCAATGGATATAATGTATGATTTTTTTTTTTAATAAAAAAAAGTAGCATTTTTGTGCTATTATAATGCCTCTTAACTTCAACATTAACATCTGTAAGTGCTTTGGAAGGTCTATCTAGAAGGTCCAATAGGAGGGCAATGACCCCCCCCCCCCCGCGTCCCTTTTTTTTCTCCCAAGCCTCCATTTATAAACTTTTTTATATGTGCCTTGCCACATTATAAGGCTATGGAACCGTTTATAGTCACAGTTTTCAATTGTTAGCTATTGAGTGATAAGGGTTGCAGAACAATTAGAGTTGATTTGAATTTTGAATTTTCTTTGACCAATCGATAATGGGTTTATGCTTTATGGAAATCCTACACATTTCACTCTACAACAGGACTTAGTGTCTTGTTTTGCATTAATTCCAGCTCCACATTTGTTCGAAACCCTTTGGATTGAAGAACTGTAGGACTTGTATCAAAATATTCAGTCTAAAAGATACCTCTAAATTTCTGGTTAGATTTTTTATGTCTCCATGCATCAGGCTATTATGTTCACGTGCATCATATGTCTCACCATTGGAATTGACCATTCTGCAAATCAGAATGAAAAGGACATAGAACCTTTGTCTTGCTCATGAAAACTGAAGAGCTTGATTGCTTGCATTACACCTCTTAGTAGCCCCTTATCCTTGTAGATTTATTTCTCCTGATCGCCAAGCTTACTTTTACCCTTGTGGAACCAATTTCTTTTTAAATTATCCTTGTGAATCAGTTTGAATTGTGATCTTATTCCCATAGGAGATTCCATGGTAAGATGTGCAAAAGTATTGTGCAATATTCGAGCTCATCTGAAATAATTGGCCTTTAGTTAGGTTTGTATAATTGTATGCTTTCTCTTTCTCTCTGAACAGTGGATGTTGAATTGGCTATGATCTCTGCACAATTGGCCTTAATGGCTTGATGCCAAGATCAGCATTTATGCATAATGTGCGAAAGTTGCTTTATCTATTTAGGATAATTTTTGCGTGGAAAGACTATTCTGATTAAGTTAATGACGTGTCGTTAAATTGTGAACAGGTGAATGGAAGCCTCTTGCCGGCCTCAGTAATCTCTGTCTACTGTGCTTATGTGTGCTATACTGGTCTTTCTAGTGAACCTCGTGATTACATTTGCAATGGCCTACATAACAAATCCAAAGCTGTTTCCACAAGCACCCTTGTCCTTGGATTGATCACAACCGTGCTCTCAGTCTTGTACTCAGCTGTTCGCGCTGGCTCATCAAAGGCATTTCTATCACCCCCCTCATCTCCAAGAGCAGGTATAAATACCCAAATGTATTCACAGAAATTTAATGCTTTATGTACGCATGATTAGATCTTGCAGGCTTGTAAGGATTTCTCAATCCTACAGTCACCTGGTCTTCTATGTTCTCTCATTGCTGTCTTACCCTTCTGCTGACTAGAGTAAATTTAACTGAATTCTGACACGTTTCTTGACTATTCACCAATTCTTGAATTGGGTGCCCATTGCAGGTGCTACTACCCCTCTTCTGACCTCAGACGACCCAGAAGCTGGCGACAAAAAGGATTCGGAATCCCGTCCTGTCAGTTATTCATACACTTTCTTTCATCTGATATTTGCCCTCGCTAGCATGTACTCTGCCATGCTGCTCTCGGGATGGACCAGTTCGTCTGACAGCGCAGATCTAATTGATGTTGGTTGGGCTTCTGTCTGGGTGAAAATTTGCACAGAATGGATGACTGCAGGACTTTACATTTGGTCTCTTTTGGCGCCTATACTGATGCCAGATCGCGAATTCTTTAGTTAATTTATGAGAATTATGTTCTTTAATTCTTATATAGCTCACCATGCCTATCAATAGCTCGATTCTCAAACTTTCATGCCAATGACTGTTTGGCTTCCGGAACTTTAGATAGGTAAGAAAACATATCATGTACAGTGTTTAGGTAAGGCTTGTGTAATTATGCCCTCTCTTAGACTTCATATGTTAAAACTATCCAGTAGAGCAAGTCTTAGACCTCTAATAACGATATTTGTATATAAATCTAGTGTGTAAGGAATGTGGTTTGCTACAAGGGAATGACATTTTCTTTCCTGGGAGATTGTTAAAATTTTGCAAGACATTTTTATGGTTTGGTTCTTTAAATTTGAATGAAATTATTTAGACAATTTATATATTGACAATGACAAGTTTGGGTTGCCAGGTGACAGACGTATGGAATGAATGAAATTTGGTTTAATCTGTATAAAAGTTGTATTCGCGTATCAGGAATCAAAATGTTCATACCATATGTACTAACTGTGGCTTATTTATTTTTCTATGGTTTTCCTTACGTCTTAAAAGATTCCTAACACAATCCACCAACATGGTCAAGAATCACACTATAATTGTTATTTATTGTGGTGATGGATAACGAGACACATAAAAAAACTTTGTAAGATGGACAAGTTCAACATCAACAGAATGATTAGAGCTTTATTTATATATTTTTTTTTCCGTGATAGAGACAAGATGAAGATTCATAGTTATAATGCACTACTATGTATGATTTTGGTGAAAATTCGATTCCAAACTACCAACCTGGCAATCCAAACTTGTCATTGTCAATATGAAGGGTTGACTTGCATCATCAAGGAGATTGAAGGGTTTAACAACACGAGAAACTCCCCTGTTATGTCCTTGATTAACATTCAGGTGAATATAATAATACGTAGCAATCGTTTATTATAGAGAGAGTGATAATGCCAGGGTTCTCTTGGATGACAAAGAAGTCAGCTAGGATCGCCTATTGTGGCCTCTTTACTGGCTTTGTTGTTCTCTCCTTGATTCTTTCACAAGTTGCTGCTCCCTTGTTGCAGATTTTCCCTTGTATGTTTTTCCCGTCTTATCTACTTTAATCTTAATTGTTCATAAGCTTGTGAATATTTTTGTGATATATGGGATTCATTCATTAGTTTTTTTGGGTTTAAATCCTTAGCTTTTTTTTTGTTTGTTCAACTGTCTTTCGAGGAGGAAGTAGCTTATGGAAGATCAATCGAATATGTTCATAATGATTGCAACTGTGCCTGAGTAAACGCAGTTGGAATTTTAATTACTCCCTGTCCCTTGTCGCAATAATCCACTATAAGGACAGTTATGCAATGTGTTAGCTCTCTTCTCATTACATTCTTTTTGGGAGCTATTGCTTGATCATCTAGTGAGTCCAAATGAGTGGCGACTTGGAATGTTTGTTACTGTGATGTTCCTAAGCTAGGGCTTCAATCTTTTCCTGGAGTAAAAGGATTTAATGTAATCATGTAGTATGCATTCTCCTGATGTTTTAGTCCATTTCGGCCATCCAACAATGTTATCATATGAGGGATGTGTTCTTTCATCACTCCTCTCTGAACTCCCTGCATCGGATCGGACAGCAAAAGTGAATAAAACAGCTAGTGAGATGCTTGAGTTTCTTCTATGATGACAAACCTTTTCATTATCTAACATTGTTAACTTGATTTGACCTTGAAGGGATACATAATGCTGATCACACAAAGGAGTGGTACCAGATAAATGCAATTCTTCGGGTCAGTTTAGGGAATTTTCTTTTTTTTTCACAGTGCTTGCCTTGATAGTGAGTGTTATGAATGTTCAATATGACCAACCTGATTCATGGCACCATGGACGATGGACAATGAAGATAATTATCTGGATTTTACCGATCATGTTAATGTTTTTGTTGCCAAATGTTATTGTAGAATTGTATGGTAAGCTCTCTGTGTTGCTCGATTTCTCATAATAAATATACTTAAGCTACAACTTCAATTCATTGTACTTTTATTATTATCGCATTAAGTTTACTGCTGCATTTCCATTGAAGTAAGAAGGCGCTTTTTAGCTTTTATTTTATCAGATCAGTTCAATTACTCTCCTGGTCTCAAATCGCAATTGTGTGTTTTGCAGGGTTTCTGTCAAAATTTGGGGCTGGCCTATTTTTGTTGGTTCAGTTTGTTTTACTATTGGATTTCACTTACACTTGGAATGATGCTTGTCTTAAGAATGATGATACGAAATGGTATGTTTTTTTTTCTATTCGTTTAGGCCACTGCAATATACGTGGTATTTTTCTTACATTCTCATGCGAAGAATATATAACATTGAATTTTCAGGTTCTATGCCTTGTTTGCAATATCAGTGGGATGCTACATTGCTTCTTTTACTTTATCCATATTTTTGTTCATTTGGTTCAATCCCTCTGGTCACGACTGTGGCCTCAATGTGATCTTCATTGTCGTGAACTTGATTCTTTTTGTTGTATTCGCTCTGATTGTACTGCAGGTGTGAGAAATGCTCATTTTGTTAAACTATATAACGATTGAGTTTGGTCTTTATGCCCTACCTATAGAGCTGCTTCATCATTATAGCCTTTATAGTTTATAGGATATTACTAGAGACAACGCTGATCAACTAATTACTCCGTAATATTGATGTCTTATTGTACAATCGTGAGCAGGTACAAGGGAGCCTTTTCCCAGCTTCAGCGATTTCTGTATACTTTACCTATGTGTGTTTTACTAGCCTTTCTAGCGAACCCCATGACTATGTTTGCAATGGCCTGGACAACAGAGCCAAAGGCGTCTCCACAAGCACCATTATCATTGGACTGATCAGTACAATACTCTGTGTCTTGTATTCAGCTCTTCGTGCTGGCTCGACAAAGGCCTTGCTATCATCCCTATCATATCCAAGGGCAGGTATGGATGCATTCAGCTATTTTAGTGCAATTCAAGACTTATTTTGGCTTGGCAGTTTTGGCACTCGTTTTCACATTAAACTAACCATGAGTGGAAGTTGGTTTTTGTAAAACTTTCTGTACCCTCCTTTATCTGTTGAAGTGGAAGGACTATTTTGTAATGCTATGTTACACCATATCGTGTATGTCCTTATTGACAGTATTTGCCCATCTAATAACCTTTGCACATTATTGGTTGCTCGCTGCAGGTGCAACTCACTTAGATGCCGCCCTTGCTCACGGTGTGTACTCGGACATGCTCTTCTCGGGATGGAGCAGTTTGTCTGACTGTTCTGAGGATACAGAAGCGGGCGAAGACATAAGGGATTTAAAATCATGGCTTGTTAGTCTGCCATACTCTGTTGAGTCCCTTAGGTTTTGATTGATAGTTTTGAATGATGACAAACAGCTAAGGGAAACAGGTCCTTGAAAGTGTTCGATACAGTTGGGGGAACCAGCTAACATAGAACACTGTTTCCCCAGACAAGTTATTACTTACATGAGTTTTCTTATTGAACTAACTTGTCTTTATACAGGGAACAGTTATATGATAAAAGTGTTATGTACTGGTAGGGAACCAGTATGTAATGTTTCCATGGTTGCTACGTGGTAAAGAAGTCACATACTCTTTATTGTGCATTAACCATGTTACATGTGCAGTAGTTGAGTTGATTCCAAGACTTGGAGCATAGAAGCCTTTCGAAGATATTTCGAAGAAAGATTGTTTGCTCATAATAGAAGTATTCAAGGAAGATTCAAGTCTTGAAGATTACATGAAGAAAAGACGATTTATGCTTTAATATGTTATCTAGGTTTTCATGTAATATGCTCCGTAGTATGCTTGCATGTTTGGGTTATATAAGTGCTTAAAAGTATATTGAAGTATGATATGAAATCTGGTACAAAGTTGGAACAGGTTTCATAACATGTTTCAATTCAGGGAACCAGGTCGGGGAACCAGGTTCACTGTATTCGAGCTGCCGTTTTGGAAAAAGATTTTACAAAAAGATTTTTTCGAAAAGATTATCTTGAAAATATTTTGTGCAGCTGGAAATAAGATGAAATATTCTTGGTTACCTAAAATCTAGGAGTATTTATCTTAATTGATTCTATCTTTGTGATTAAATCAAATAAGATAAAAACTTTCCTAAAATTACATTATATCTTATTCTCTAAGATTGTGTGATTTAAGGAAACTAGGTTTTAGGAATCTAAGCTTATATAAACTCATCTTATTTCACATATTTCGTGTGCCTCTCCAGAAATTAAAAGAGCAATTATTTGAGAGCATATACTTAAGCACTAATCCCATTCATCAAGTCATATACAAGAGCATTCTAGTACTTAAACTTTTTCTCTTAATTAGCTTCGTAGAAGTGAGATCAAAGGAGAGTTTTTGATTCTTGTATTGAGTCTTTAACAAAGGGGTTAAAGGCTGGGTGAGTGTTTGTGAGTTCAAACACATTGGGCTTACGAGTGTAAGTCGAGAGCACACTCGGAGTAGAGTGTGGGGTTTGCTGGTTCCCGGAGTAGGGAACAGCAGAGTGTTCTTTGTCTTTGTTTTTCGGAGTAGATTAATAAAGAACTTAGGATAGGAGGACGTAGGCCTGAGTTGGCTGAACCTCGTTAAATTTGTTGTGTTCTTTATTGCTTTGTTTTATTTCGTTAAATTTGTTGTCTTCTTTATTGCTTATTTATATTCCGCTGCGTACGGGAACCAGCACAACTGGTTCCTCACACATAATCCGAAAAGAAGCAAAATTAGCCAACGATTACTTAACACTCAATTCACCCCCCCCCTCTTGAGTGCCCATTGAACCTTCAATTGGTATCAGAGCCTAAGCTTCTCGAAAGAGTAACATCTAGAGGAGTTAAGAATGAGTACTCAAGAATTAAGTGCAATCGGTTATGACAACAAGTCACCCAAGTTTAATGGAAATAATTATGCTTGGTGGAAGAACAGGATCCAGAATGTTATCATGGGTATTGATTATGAATGCTGGCTCGTAGTTAAAAATGGTCCTAATATCATTCTCAAGACAGATGTTGAGGGGAACCAGGTTCCCAAGAAGGATAGCGAATTGGTCATTGCTGATTACAAGTTGCTGGAAAAGAATGCTAAGGCAATGTCAATACTACAACAAGCAATAGGTGAGACCGAAACAAATCGTATCTCTGGCTGTAGTAGTGCTAAGGAGATATGGGACACCCTTGAACTTGCGTTTGAGGGAACCAGCGAGGTAAAACGGTCTAAAATTGATTTAATCATGTCTAAATATGAATTGTTTGCCATGAATAAAAATGAAAAAATCAATGATTGCTTTCGTAGGTTTATGACTATTGTAAATGATCTTAGATCTCTTGGTAAAAATTTATCTGACGAGGATCTTGTGAGAAAATTATTGCGTAGTTTAACAGATGCATGGACAGCCAAGGTAACAGCAGTATACGAAGCAAAGGATCTGTCTACCTTGTCTCTGGAACAGCTGATTGGTTCCCTTATGACTCATGAGATGCTGATTGACTCTAAGTCTGAGAAGGAACCAGCAAGAGGCATGGCGCTTAAGGGAACAGTAGAAGATGATGAAGATGAAATTAGCATGATTGCAAAAAGATTTGAGAGATCTCTTCGAGATCAAAGAAAGAATTTCAAAGGTAAGCATTTTAAAAACTATAAAAAATCTAACTCTAATTCTTCTTCTACAGGATGTTTCAAGTGTGGAGAAAAAGGACATCTTATTCGAGATTGTCCTAAGTGGAATGACAAACAGTCTAAATCCGGAGATAAACAAGCATACAAGAATGCCATGATAGCTTCCATGTGGGGAGACTCTGACTCAGGGTCAGATGAAGAAGAAGGATCACCCAACTCAGATGTTTGCCTAACTGCCTTTACAAACATCAAGGAAAACAGCACTGGTCCAGGAACCAGAGGGGGAACCAGTACATTCAACAAATGCTTTATGGCAAAGAAGGATGTACTACATGAACGCAAGGTAAGCTTAGAGCAAATTAGAGAAGATATGCATGAATATGATAGAGAAAATATGCTTGCTTGTATTGATTCCTTACTAGATGAATGCTATAAACTAAGTGAAACATACATAACTTGCAAAAGAGAATTAAAAGAAAAACGTGGTGAATGTAATATTGCTATTGCTAGTTGTGATCATCTAGAAGGAGTCTGTTATGAACTAAAAAATCAAGTAGCAGAACTAGAGGTTGAATTGGACAAGTGCAAAGTGGAACTAGAAAAGGAAAGATCGTTTGAACCAATTGATGGAGAAGAGGATCTGACCTCCTGGTTCCCTAGAGACTTATCAACCACTAGTGATACTCTTGATTTTTCAGTAGCTATAAGTAAAGCAAATTCGTGTACTAGAACTTCCTTGTTGAAGGCCTTTGAAACATTGGCTTACAACCTGGAAAACTCTCACAAGGAAATTGCTTCACTTAAAGCTGCACAGTTCACTGTTTCCCCTACAGGTACCAGTGTAGATGTCAGTAATACGATTGATAAGTATGAAAGTAATATTTGTGATTTGCATGCGGAAATCAATCAACTGAAAAAGGACAAGCAACCAGTGATTGTTGACATGTCTATTGACTCTATGGTTTCAAAACTTAATCTACAATTCGAAGCTTTAAAAAGTAACTTTGATTTTCTTAAAGAGAAAAACGAATTGTTAACTAAAACACTTGAAACCAGAGAAAAAGAACTTAATGATAGTCATAGACATGTGGACAAATTATTGAATGCTCAAGAATCCTTAAATTACCTGATTTCATCAAGAGGAAACAGAGGAAAAGTTGGTCTTGGTTATACTAGACAGAGAACCAGGACTAACTGGTCTCCCAGAGAAACCACCTGGATCAAAGAATATCAACGAGGCAAGTATGTCATGACTAAAGAAATGCATGTGTGTTTTCATTGTGGTAAAAATGGACATAAGATACATGAATGTCCAGCTAAGAAAATTAGTGCTAATAAGAACAGCAAGGGTGTAAAATATGTGTGGAGAAGAAAGGATCAACAAGATGTTAATGTTGTTGAAAAGGGACCCAAGTATGTTTGGGTTCCTAAAACTAATGTTTGATTTGCTCTTGCAGGCTAGAGTGAAGGGAGATACCTATTGGTATTTGGACAGTGGTTGCTCAAGACACATGTCCGGGGATAAAGATCAATTCCTTTCACTAGTGGCCTTTGATGGAGGAAGTGTCACCTTTGGGGATAACAGCAAGGGAACCATCACTGGTTTAGGTAAGGTTGGTAAGACACTTTCTAACGCAATAGATGATGTTTATTATGTTGAAGGCTTGCAACATAATCTCTTGAGTATTTCTCAATTATGTGACAAAGGTAATATAGTTGAGTTTCAAGCCAACCTATGTCACATAGTTAACTCACAAACAGGAGAACTTGTATGTGAGGGAACCAGGAAGCATGATGTTTACATTACCTTCTTAGATAAAATCCCTCAAGACAAGTCCATCTGTTTGAGAGCTGTTTCTGACAATAATCAATGGATTTGGCATAAGAGGTTTGGACATGCTAGCCTAACACTTCTAAACAAACTTAAAACACGTGACTTAGTTGTAGGCCTTCCTAACATTAAGTATGAAGCTGATAAAGTTTGTTCTGATTGTGTAAGGGGGAAACAGGTCAAAAATTCTTTTAAGTCTAAAACTGTTTTGAGTACCAGCAGACCCTTCGAACTTGTACACATTGATTTGTGTGGTCCCATGAGAGTACAAAGTCGAAGAGGTCATAGATATGTCTGTGTTATGGTTGATGATTATTCCAGGTACACTTGGGTAATGATGTTACACACAAAGGATGAAACGTTTGAAGAATGGGTAACATTGGTGAAACAAGTGGAGAACCAGCTCACCCACAAGCTGGTCTCGGTAAGATCAGACCATGGTACTGAATTTGAAAATGCTAACTTTATTGATTATTGTAGGGAACATGGAGTTAATCACAACTTCTCAGCCCCTAGAACACCTCAACAAAATGGTGTTGTAGAAAGGAAGAATAGAACTCTTGAGGAGATGGCGAGGACGATGCTCATTGAGAGTGGTCTCCCAAAGAGTTTTTGGGGAGAAGCTGTTGACACTGCTTGCTATATATTGAATAGAGGTCTCATTAGACCAAAGTTAAATAAGACTCCCTATGAACTTCTTAAAGGTCGAAAGCCCAACATCACATACTTTCGTGTCTTTGGATGTAAATGCTATGTGCATAATAATGGGAAGGACCAGCTTGATAAATTTGATCCTAGAAGTGATGAGGGAATCTTCCTTGGATACTCTTCTCACAGCAAAGCATATAGAGTCTTTAATAAAAGGACTCTTCGTGTTGAGGAGAGTGTCCATGTCATT